AAAAACCGGTCCTGCGTCTCATTTACTCTTTCTGATGGTAGATTGGCACTAGCTATACGGGGTAGTCAAACTCACAATCAGCTTGTTTGTAGGTAACTCTCGAAAGAGGGAGCCATCGACAAAATTGCCAGCCGTCTCAAAAGCAATCACGGGTTTTGGTTTTTGAATTTTTTCTGAATTACGGGTTTTGGCCTTTGAGTCAAAACTTCGTTGGAAATAACATCGGTTTACCTTACACTTCCCGGGAAGGAATAAAAAGCGCGGAGAGAGAAGTGCGCCTTCAACTTTTTTTGACTACCTGAGATGACTGAGCGATTCTCACTTCAGATAATTTTTGGGTGATCTCGACATAGGACAGTTAATTTTTGTGATTGGTTTGATTTTTCAATAAATTTTATTTAACTGTGACTCTTGCGCACAAGGTAGTGCTTTTATCATTCAAAGCGTCCCTGCCTATTAAATTCCAGATTTTTACACAAATGTTGTGTGTGGTTAGATTTGTAAGTTGAACCGTAATATAAAATTAATACGCTTTTTTTTTTTTTTTGTTTAAGGTGCACATGTCTTGTCGGAAGGGAAGAAAACGGAAAGCGACGCAAAAGAAGACGGTGGTGCCGTCAGGCGATGATGCAATGAGTATTTCATTCACGGATGGGCCAATGAAAAACGAGAATTTGAATGATAAAATTCATTCGATACCGTGCCGAATGTATTACGATGGGCCGGCAAACGTGGCACAATATTTCATTCGAAAGAAGCTAGAAGGTTCAGTTTTTTTTTTTTTGAAGAATTGTCACACAGTAGCAAGAAAAGGAAATCGGTCACAGGAGTGGCTTACAAGGAGATGGCGCGTGTGCACAGTGAAAATGGTCTGTTATTAACTATTGGAGTGTACGAGCCTGCACGGTTCTACTGAAGATTCCATTGACGATTTTGATAATCCCGATAATTCCGTGGTTTTTTATGCGTTTTTTGCAGCAATGCAATGCGAAAAACGCATATTGACGAGAGGTTGTCTGTGTGTTCGTGTGTCTGTGTGCCTGTGTGTGCGTCTGTCACGCACTTTCATCTCCGGACCTATAAAAGCTGCGATGTGTCTGTGTGTGCGCTGGGCCTCTGTATCGGTTTTTCATCTCGAGACCGGCAAAAGCTACGGAGCTGAAACTTTGGGGACTTGTGCGTGTGTGTGTGCGCTGCGCGTCTGTACCGATTTTTATGCGTTTTGTGCTGTGTAACAGCCGCGTTTTTTGCAGCTATGCAATGCAGAAAACGCATATTGACGAGAGGTTGTCTGTGTGTGTGTGTGTGCGTTTGTGTGTCTGTGTGTGTGTGTTTGTGTGTGTGTCTGTGTGTGCGCAGCGCGTCTGTACCGATTTTT